GGCCCTGCGTCCGCAGGGGGGGCCTTGGCGGGTGACGCGCCGCCAGCAGCGGCACCCGTGGTGATGCTGGGGGCTGGCAGGGCCCCGGCCAACCAAAGGGCGTCACGCTCACGCATGATGGCACTGATAACATTGCCAAGTGTCGTGTGGCCTGTGCATCTGGCTGCCCATTGACCGCGCTCTTCCACATCGAGGTGTTGGACCAGCTGCAGGCGCCGCCCCTCCGAGGTGCGCAGAATCAAATCATGGCAGCGGCTGGCGTAGGACAGCAGGATGTCGTAGGGGACCTGGACGTATTGCACACTGTCTGCACCGAGCGACTCAGGCGCAGACGGCGCCGGCTCCACGGGGCGACACCCCACAATAGCCAGGGCCAGGAAGTAGGTGTCCATCTTGGCCATGTAGGAGAGCCAGGACTTGGCAGTGATCTCATCCTCATCATCCTCTTGGAGGTACAAGTTGCCCGTCAGGCGTCGCCGTTTCTGGCTATGTGTGCGCTGAAAAGTGAGTGAGCGGACCGTCCACAGGTCCATGACCTCGAACTGGCTTCGTGTCAGCTGTCGGCTGAGCTTCGACAGCAATCGGTCAGAGGGATATTGGCGAGGCTCTGGACGCAAGTGGTAGCGTCGAAAGAACGCCTCCTTCAGCTGCTCGAGCTCCTGTTTGGGAAGGAGCGTCTCTTCTTCCGTTGGCGCTGGCGGCAGGCTGGCCGCGGCGTGCTCGGAGTCCAACAAGGCCTTGCACGCTGTCCACGCGAAGCGCAGCCGAGCAGCCTGGAGGCGCCCTTGCATCTCCTCATATGGTGGGTCCTTGACTGTATCGATGAAGAGCTTTTTGATTTCGTCCTCACTGCGGGCGTAGTGGCGGAATTCCGCAATGGTGCGAATCCCCAACTCAATGATCTTGTCTTTGATGCGCTGCTCAAAATTGAACTGCAGCGCAAGAGTGGTGAAGGTGTCCTCCGGCGTAGCAAGCTGCTTAGGGACGGTGGCCATGATTCACGACAGGAGATGGCGGGAGCAGCGAACACTGGAGAGCAGAGATGGCTGCGGAAGGTCGCAGAATCGAAGAGTGGACAGGCTCTGCAACCACAAAGCAAGGAAACAGCATGTACCAAATGGAGCGCCGCACAGTGTCAACCCTTTTTCAAAAACTCAAAGTCGTTCATGGCATGACTACTGAAGCCGCTTTGCAAGCTCCCCGAGCTCCAAGCTCAGGCATTGTAGCGCTGGCCAACGGATGGCCTCGCCTGCCGCGTGGGCCTCGTGGTGGGCAGTATAGAGCAATTGCCGGAACGAAGCGCGATCGGCCTCAGGAAGACTGTCATGGTGACGCGCCAAATCATCACGTGTAGTGTTGACCAGTGGGGCGTAGGGAGGCAAAGTACCAGGTCTCGGGGCCGCCGGCCACAACAGCCCCTCCAGCCTCGGCTCGGGGCGTGCTGCCTCCCTGGGCAGGTCTTGGATCTCATCCCACCATTCGATCCATGATTCACATAGGTTCCGTGCAGCGCGCAGCTGAACCTGTACCACCCCTAGACAAGAGGTGGAGGTCGGGGGAAGGGCTCTCAAGGCCCGACAGGCCTGGTCCATCTGATCCCCTACCTCCCAAGCACGGGCCCGTCTGGCCTCGCCCTCCAAGGGCGTCAGTGTCACGGCAACGAACTGGATCGCCTGGGGCCGGTCCATTGGCACAGGGTAAAGACGTGGAGGCCGGAGTTCACTGGGATACGAGATGCTGCAGCAAATATGCAAAACTGACTATAAAAGTTCGGGCGATATTCAGACTAGGGACCTACTCCTCGGGCCGTCCGCCGAGTCCCTATGAGCAAAAACTTGCATAGCACACGAGACGCCCTCTCGGCCTACCCGGTAGGCGTGCTGTTTCCGAAGACTGCAGTTATTAGTACAAGTGGACCTGGGCATTGCCAGGGAGCACTGCTTTACATGTGATACAGAAATCACGCCCGTAGGCCAAGGCCTCATGAATGCTGCGAGCTCGGTGGACTTCACCTCGATAAGCAGCATTGCGCTGGCGCCATCTGCACCAGGGCGCGTTGTCACGCTCCACATGCCAGTGTGATCCCGCCTTGGTAGAGGTAATGAAGGAAATCGGATACCTGTGGGGTGATGTGGACCTGATTCCGGGCCCATTTGAAGATATCAGAGCCGCCCCGCCGGCTGAGCACGCCGGCTCGGTCGATAGCTCGCAAGCCCTCCAGGCGCGAGTATGCTTCCTCGAAGGAGCACCGCCGGATCCATGCAAGGAGCAAACCAGCCAACACAGGGGCCCTGTGCACCCCCGCCATGCAATGAACCAGAACGGAGTAGCCTGAATACAGGGTTGCCAGAAAGATAGGCAGCACCAACTTCAACTGGCGGTCACGTAGGGCTCCTTGATGACCAACAGGAACATTGACTTGGTAGACCTGGCGAGCACTGACCCCTCCCCGACAGTCAGCGGCAATCTTGTCCATGGCGCTGAGACTCATGCCGATGCGGTGAGCCTCCAACCATGCCCGGTCCGTGGGCAGACCGCCCAAGTAGATAGAACCATTGCCTGCTTCGCCCAGGAAGATGAGCGTGGGAGGCTCTGGGGCACCGCTGTGCCCGGGCCGGCGCCAGCGTTCCCGGGCCGCTGCATCGAAGGCCGCATCATTCGCCTCCTGCAAGTGCTGGGGCCGCTCCAGCGACGGTTGCAGCACTGAGGGCATGGCCTTGACTTTGGGGGTCGACGGTGGCGTGCTCGAAGGAACTGCCGTGGTTGAAGACGAAGATGCCCGAGGTGAAGCCGATGGCAGAGGTGGTGGTGCCCGCAAAGATGGAGCAGATGCCGAAGCTGATGAGGGCGAGACCACAGGCCGCATAGGTGGCACCTTTGGCGGAGGTGCTTTGGGCGGCGTCACCGGTTGGGCACTACCGCCAGCAGCAGCCCGGGGTGGCGACTCCACCCGTGCCCGCTTCGCCGGCCGCGAGGGACTGGTGAACGAAAAGGTGGACACCGTGTTCCTCGGCCCCTGTGCGGGCTCAGGCACCGGGCCGGCAGCCACGGCTGGGGCCGGGCGCTTCCGCCGGAGCGCAGCAGTGAGTCGTTGACCAGTAGCGCGGATGATCTGGACCTGGGCCGGCAGCAAGGTCTTGACCACGGGCATGCCAGGGATGGAGTCCGTAGAAACTCGGCGGATCTGAGGGTCCGAAGCGAGGAGCTCGTCAGCTTCTTCCATGCAAGTGGACCATCGGGCCGAGGCGTAACCAGTCGGCAGTTCGTCCCACAACGCCATGTTGAGGTCCTGGAAGAAGTGCAATCCAGCCAGGCGCAACTGGTGTCCTAGGCGTTGTTTCCGCGAGTCATATCGCAGAGGGGTGGTAGCCGTAGACTTGGAGGACTGGTCCACCCATTGTCCAAGAGCAAGACGCTCTGTCTCGGAGAGCCCCACATACCCTGCCAAAGTCGGAAGCACGCGGCGGAACGAGTAGGACGAGAGGCTGGTAACGTCCATGGCTGCACTCAGGTAGGGCTGCAGGATCCGGACACATTGTGCTGTGCCCACCGGCTGGGCTGTAGCCGAGTCGAACCCCAACCAATGCCAGCGCTTGAAGCCAGCGCCTGTTCTGGGGCGCACTTTGTTCAAATGGGTACCGAGCACTTGTAGAAGGTCCAACGTGCCACAATACCTCGGAACGCTCCAGGCGAAGCCACCACGACTGCCGGTCTTACCTTTCGTGCACCAGAACACAAGGATGCTCCCGTTCCCGCCGACCAAGTAGCTCCGTTGCAGATGGGTGTACCTGACCACACCAAAACAGAGGGCGTAGGCACAAAACACCATAGGCCAGTGAGGATTGTCAACGGTGGATTCCAAGGTGCCCAACAGGTGGATGACCATAGATGGCTCCAAAGTCGCCGCCTGCGACTGCCCCTGACCGAGGCGAGATCCCAAACCAGCCCGAGGTTTCACCACTTCGGAGAGGTCAAATGGCAACTTGAGGTTGCGGACGATCCAGCCTAGAGCGGTATATGCCCTGGTAGGGGACTTGTGCTCCCGAATGAAGGTGGCCAGGAGGTGTTTGTCTGGGATACCTCCACCTGCAGCGGCAATGACCCCTTGAAGCTCTTGCCACGTGTGCAATGCTCGCTTCACGGTGGCGGCCTCCGCCTTCTGGAGCACATGTGTGAGCTTGGCCTCGAAGTTGGCGGTGATCTCAGCCAAGCGAGCCGCCGGCGGGGGCTCAACTGCCAGAAGAATGGCCATCAACTGAGGCAGAAAGCTCAAGGCACCGCCATCCGGGCCGCCCGACTGACGGCCCTGGGCACTGGGCCTGACTGGCCCCGCAAACGATGGGGTAGGTCGTGGCCTCAAAGGTGGCGATGTGGTAGGCCGCGGCGCTGATTGCGAAACTTGTTCACGACGAACGATGTCTCGCACCAGGGCTCCAGCGCCCAGCTCCGCTTCACGGCGTGCCTGGTCCCAGGCCTCGGCCACTGCGCGGCCCTGCTTCAGCACTTCCTCGTAGGTAACGAAGTAGAACGCTAAGTCGGAGGGCCTTTCGATACCATGGGCAGCGCACCACCGCTCCAGCTTCTGCTGTTCAGCAGAGCGGCGGATCTGAGCGTCGGCGCTTGCCATGGCGTCAGAACCGGGAAGAAAAAGTTTAGCTTGAGGTACCAGCAGCGACACTGCTCCTCAAGGGGCGTCTCCCCAGTTTGGCTTGAGCATTCAAACATTGGGAGACGTTGATTCGAAGCTTCCCAAATAATTCATCATCACCGACCCTGCCTACCTTAAATGATTGAATATATACTTGCGCAGAAAATTATAGCCTAAAGTATCAAGAAGCAACGAAAAGTGCATACAGTCCACGCTGAAAACATACACAGATTTGCTCGTTTTGTACATAAACATACATTTTCCCAAAAGTCTGATTTCGGAAAGTGTTTTAGCTATCTGGAAGTTATCTCGAAATTATTTTCATTGTTTTTTAAAAAAAAAACTTCAAAATAATCTATACAACTTCCAGTTAACTTCAATAGAGCCCGGGTCTCACCTTGTAGACGCCTCTGTCACGACACGAAGAAGGAATCTAAAGCGCCGTCTTGCAGGAAGTCTCTCAAACGACACAGAAACTCCAAACATATCCTGCCCCCAGCTCCCCTTCATCCAACCAGCGACCCGACCTTAGCCGACACCTTTGAAGTCATCAAATAATAGGACGCCGTAAGGAAAAGGAAGACTCCCACCACGCTGATGCCCTAAGCAAGCAAGTGGGGAAGGAAGCAGTGTTTCACTTTTTCCGACAATGTCTTCACCTTATATCCATCTTTATGTTCGGCTCAGCCCCCGACCCAAAGGATTTGCTCCCATGCTTCACATTCCATGCATTGTCCTTCTCTCCATGTCTTACCTGCTCTGATGGACGCTGGATAGACTGCGCAAATGAACACTAATAACTGCGAGGCTCGATAGATTTTGAGGAACTTCTCAAGTTTCATTACCACTTCTTCGCTGAACTCAACCCCAAGACTCAAAACAAGCTTCTGCTCGAGCCTTGTGGGCACTCAGCACATGGCACTCCAGCAAGACCACCTGCGCAAGAGTCTGGGACGCCGCCTGGGCAGTGCCAGATCTTGCCACACTTGTAGACCTCCCAGGGTTGATGTTAATCATACTGGACACACTGAAAACAAGGCTACCGTCGGATGACCGCACTTCCCAAAAGTGCGCGCGTCCTCTGGAACCTGCTTTCCACATGCGCGTACTGATGTAGGAGGGGGCCCAAGAGCAACATGTTATTGTCATTTGCGATGTTTTCTTCACTCTTCCAGCAAACTTCTGCAATCTCCAACGCGCGGTAAGCCCCCTTGCTCGGGGCAAGAAGTAATGCTTCTCGCGCGTACTACATTGCGCTTGCAACTGGGTGTGGTGTCCTAAGCGCTTTGTCAGCGCAACAACCCTCTTTTAGACCGCAAAATGAAAACAAAGGGTTCACGTCTTGGTTGGTGGCCTGCTGAATCCCTCTGAAGTGAAGCCTACAATGTGTTCCTGTCTTTGCCGGATCACTATTTGCCGCGTCACCCCTTCCAACCCAAACCTTCAAGGGCTCAGCTGCCGTGGTGTAGTAGCCTGCGTCCACAATAGGCAAGTGCTTCGCGCCCAAAGGATGCACGCCTGTCTCATAACCTGGGCATTCTGCCAAGAAACGACTGGAGCGAAGTCAAACAAGGAATTGCATGTATTGGCGCCAACCCCGTGGCTCTGGGTTTTGATTGACACCGCTCCAAGAAACTCTCCAAGGTCCCCATGGCGGGACAAGTCAAGCCAACGCTGCAAACCTCGCACGTCAGACCTGCCAAGGCATCAACTGGCCCTTCACCAACCACCACAGTAATACATCAAGGCATGGTCTTGGATTTTAGGCGAAGATCGTTCCGTTTCGCAGCGTGGGTTTATGAAAGGACCACTGGTCATGGGCCAAAAACCTTTCACTGAAAAAACAACTTTCAACTCGGCACTTCGCACTTCTGGACACCGGATCAAGCGCTACATATTCCGTTTGCGGACACGTTTCCTGAGCGAACGCCTGCAGGCGCAACGTCAATGCGACCCTCAACGCAGCCGCAATCGGTGAACACCACGGATCCCAAGCCCAGCGTGCTGCTTCCATCCGGGCACCTGAGGGACCGGCGGTATCTAGTCCCAAGTATTGTGAGATGTTTCTTGGCATCACGGTGACTGCCTCAACTTACAAGTTGCAAGTATCAAAACGGCCCCGATGCATAATAAATGAAGGCGTGAAAGTTTGCACCCCTTACAGTTTTGTTGGGGTACATCTGTGGCACATACTACGTTGGTCTTGACCATATTTTGTCGCCATGCAATACATGAAGAGCAAGCCGTGTACTTCGTGGTTTTCGCGCTCTCCATGATGTTGCTGCATAGTACATCTTCGCGCGCACCTTCCGCACCTTCTCCATGCGTTGCGATAATGAATTTTGTGTGCGTGGCCCCTTTTATACATCTCTTAAAGTCCATGGTTTTTGTTGTGGGTCCCTAAGTTGCATTTCTGGTAAGGTTGTGTATTTACGCAAGGCGATCGCTCAGACCTTTCTCCTTCACTTTCTCCAGCATTGCTCCCCACATCTGAACCATGTTCTTGTTTATGCATGGTGCTGGTTAGCCTCACTACATCAACCAAGCCTCAAGATGACCCAACATGACCCCACCAGAGCCCCAACATCAGCCTAACATCGCCTCAATATACCGCATAGCCTCAACATCACCAAAGAGCCTTACCACACACATTCTTGTGGGGCCCTACATTGCTGATGCAATCTAAGCAATTCTTCTCTGTGGGGATCGAAATTGCACCTTTAGCATCCTTTAGCGAAGTTCGGCGTTTACACAACACAATCCCTCTGCTGCAACGCCACCTGCAACACAATTCGCTCAATTCTACCGCTATGCGCATGAAACCCTTCTACCGAAGGCCAATTGCAAACACAAACCGGGACCCACAAAACAACCCCTGTACCTTCTGCAAATCAAAAAACATGTCCACACACGTATGGCCAACAACTCCCTGCGCTGTTCCAGCGCTTTCTGTCATCTGAAGACAAGAGACGCAATGCATTGGACTTGACCCTCTTGATCCTGATAGGTGCCCAGTGGACAACGCTTGCAGCTGTGGCTTCCCAGCTCGTCTTGGTATGTGCCCTTGTCACAGGGGTCACACTTGAGCGAGGCTCCCAAAGCCTGGCTAGTGCCCAAGGGGCATGCGGAACAGATGTGGGTCACGCCGATGGAATCCACCAAGCGCTCAGAAAAGGTACCGCTGGGGCAAACTTGGCACCTGACCGCTTGGCACACATTTTTTGGCATCTGACGTGACCAACGTTTTAAAGAAACAAGATGGAGCCCACGAACCCGAATGCAAACACGTTCAAAAAGCTACATATGTCCAAATGACACTCTTGTAGGACACTCTTGTGGGACACTCTTGTGGGTCACTCTTGTAGGAAACTCTTGTGGGACACTCTTACGGGACACTCTTGTGGGACACTCTTGTGGGACGCTGTTGCGGGACACCACTCTTGTGGGACACTCTAGTAGGAAACTCTTGTGGGGCACTCTTGTAGGACACTCTTGTGGGATACTCCTGTAGGACACTCTTGTGGGACACTCTTGTGGGACACTGTTGCGGGACACTCTTGTGGGACACTCTTAAGGGACACTCTTGTGAGACACTCTTGCGGGACACTCTTGTGGGACACTCCTGTGGGACACTCATTTGGGACACTCTTGTGGGACACTCTTGCAGGACACTCTTGTGGGACACTCTTAAGGGACACTCTTGTGAGACACTCTTGCGGGACACTGTT